TAGCTTTAAGATTTGCAGGTGTACCAACCCGCTCAGTCCCTAGCCCACTCCTCCTGTCTGCGCATGGAATCGGAAACTGTCGGTACCAACTCAACCCACTAGCACTTAGTCGAGAGCTTGCTCCTTCCACCTTTGCACGAAATTGGAAACCACCGGTACCTTCTTAACCCACTGCACAAACCATCGTTGACTCCCTCCTCCCTTATAGAAAAGGAATGTTGAAACCATTAAACTAAACATTATTTACATTCAGTTACCACTTTTAGATTGGAGGTCTCGAGTTTTAATCTAGACGTTAGTAATTTCTAACAACTTGATGATATTAACTCCTAACGAAATTGTTTTAAAACACTATCTAAATTAAATAATAATAAAATTATTATTATTATTATTTTATAATTGTTGGTAATAGATAAGGGAAAAAAATAATATTATAGGAGTAACTCATGGAAAAATAAGAAGCTTCCGTACAAAGTCCTAAACTTTTATATGTTTATACTCATTTAGTTTTTATTTTTATTTTTAGAAATGTTTCATCTATTTCAAAATTTGTTACTATTTTCTTAAATTTATAACTATTTATGTATATCTTGAGGAATAGATATTACTTACCACTCTTAGGAAGACTTATATTCATAACTAGGCAAATAGGTATATTTACACCACACACTACAAGGGGTTTAAGCGGCTCGTGTGGGGTAGGGGAAACACCATACCTAGTGGTATGCGGGTGTGAAGTGAACCCCTGCATGTGATTCCACCAGAAGTTTCTTCTTTCTTTTTGACCGCTGGAATTAATAAATTTATATTTATATTTTATATTTCTTCTTTTTCTCCCATGTAAATAAACAACATATCTTCCATTTTATACCAAAACCCAAACATCCAAAACCTCTATATTCTTTATATATGAAATTCAATATGTTATCTTCATCTTCCACTTTGTCGGATAAGTTGGTTTTGTGTGAATCGATGTTTAATGGGAACATTATGCAAACAATGCTCACTTATATACAAGAAAACGAAGTTGAAAGTTCACATTCAAAAACCAAAAAACTCATTTATAGAGAAATCGTGTAGCTAACACAATCATCTATTACAAGACTACTTTGTCGATAATGTCGTCTATGCTGCAAAATTTAGATGTCGGTTCAAGATGAGGAAATAATTATTCATACACATAGTTAATGATATGAATAATCAATTTCCATATTTTCAATTGAAATGGAATGCGAGAGTCAGGAAAAGTTTCTTTCAAATTCAAAAATATACATCGGCAATTCGTCATAGCATTGGGCATGGAAGTGACTCATAGGATGAGTATTTGTAGATGTCGGAGCGAACTACACATGAATATCTTTACAAGTTAGCTAAAGCTTTGATTATCCTCTATTATGACCGATATTTTCACAAACCTACAATTAACGACGTCAACCGATTGTATATGACACATGAAGAAAAACATGGATTCCATGGAATACTAATGTGCCCTGATGTGTGGTCATGTGAGCTGATAAGAAACAGTTGCCGGTAATTTTAGAAGCATTGGCGTCAAATGCATGATCTTTAGATATGGTATGAGATTTTGGTGCATCGGATGCCAACGTCATCAATGTTCTAGACTAATCATCGATATGTATTCAACGATGTCTACCTTGATAAATCGTATGATTTGTTGTTGCAAGTGAATGGAACACCATACAAGTGTGGGTACTACCTTACTTGTGGGATACATCCATGGTTAACTACATTTGTGAAAACATTCTCATGTTCAAACAGCGAAAAATGATTAAAGTCTAAGGCGGCCCAAGAATCAGCTAGGAAGGATGTCGAACGAACATTTGAAGTTCTTAAGAGACGTTGGCAGATACTCAAAGTCCCAGCATGATCATACGAGCATACAAGAATACATAGCTTGATGCATACATACACCATATTGCATAATGTTATTTTAGAAGATGAACGAAAAATGATTGGCCACTACAATGAAGATGAAAATTTACCAATAATCAAAGGAGTATGTATTGGTTAGCCGAAATAGATGGCGAGCAAAAGGGAACTACACGACCGCATTGGACATCAAAACCGTCATGCTGATTTGGTAGAACACATTTGCAATACTCATCTAACTCCCATCGACGAAAATTCGTACGGCGATTTGTTCGGCGATACAGATACCTAGGGTTGACAAATATGTATCACGTAAAACCAACCAACATGTTATCAACCAAAACAAAAAATATTGATAACCAATATGTTTGGTTGGTAGTACCATACCAATTGAGGAATTATCGTACAGTAATGGACAAAATTTTCAATACCACGGTAATACCAACCAACCAATTCAATATATATATATATATATATATATATATATATATATATATATATATATATATATATGGTTTTAGTATGTTTGGTGTATATTATATTAGCATTCAACGTATTAGTAAAGTTTAAAGTTAAGTTTAAAGTTTTAAACTAATGATAATGTGTTTAATTTCCCTCCATTATTTTAAATTATAAACTCATAGTTGACAATAAAATCTTTTCAGATCGAATTTTAAATCACAACCATTACCAAACTCAAATTCACAAAAGCTCATTCACGTTTCAAAATGTTATGTAAATCGTTATTTATAAATTTCTCATACATCTTGGTATATACTATTAGCAACTTGTACCAACCGAACTTATTTGTAGCCAAACAAGTTGGTACCAATTATAGTTGGTACAGTAGTAATAACAAAAAAAATTATATCAACCATAATTGGTATGGTACATGGTTTAGGCAAAAAATAACCGGTATTGTACCAATTCCACCCCTACAAATAAATTGTCTGATTTGGACGAGGATTTAGATCGATATGACCTACAATGAGGCGTGGCGTACTATTTTAATATGCTTTAGTTTCGTTTGAATTTTAGTTAATGAAATAGTTTTCTTTTTATTAACTTTATATAATTATGACATTACATGTTTATACATTTTTATAGTAAAAGGTAATAATAGGTGATTATTTTCTATCAACGAAAGGATAAAAGAAAATTAATGTAACGGCAAAATAAAAATAAAGAGAAGCAATAGTCCATACCCTTTTCTTATATACGAATCATCATTAATAAAAGAAGATTTTTTTTTTCCAATATGTCAATCTTTCATAAGTTTTGATACCTGTTATTTTATGATATTTTTAAAATAAATATTATACACTTGTCAATTTTTGATTTGTTTCAATTTTTAAAATTAAAGTCATATACTTATATATGTAAAGTATTAAATATCATATATATAATATTAAAATGCAATAAATACATTTCTTCATTTCTTATTTTAAAGTTGTACATTAAAAAATATTTTTTGTTTACACTTTAATTTAATGTTTAATCTTTTTTTAAATCAACTCGTGTAATACACAGATCTCACACCTAGTGTACAAGAAAGGAAAATCATAAAATAAATAAATAAATAATACATATACAATAAAAAAAATAGCTAACTAATATCTTATTTTCTAACATGTGCCCTAAAGATACACATAAAAAGCATTAATTGAACTATTAATTATGATGAATTATTAAATGTGAAATTTATTAATTATAGAAAATATTCTTCATAGTTATGCATTTCACATTTAATCATAGAAAATTATTTTATTTTAACCATTTAATATATATTGAACGGTCAATATATTTTTATAATTTATATATTTAATTCCTTCTATTTTTACCATATATTAATTTACCCATTTAATTATAACTTAGTTTTAAATATTTTTGATTTCTTTACTAATGAATTATTCTTATTAAATATTAATTAACATTTTATTTATACAATATAATCTTTATGATAATAATATAATATTTTCAATGTTTGTTTTAACTATATCATAATAACTTTTCGTAACCGATATATTTGTATTTATATATTCATATTCAATAATTGTTTTTGTTTACAGAAAGACTAATTAAACGAGGAGATTTTATAAAATATTTTAGAAAATGAAAGCAAATTAGTTAAATTTATGAAAAAAAACTATTTAAATAAATTTAACCATTAGAATAGGTGTTTATATAGACGTCTAAGATTAATGAAATGGTTATGTGACATTTATTTTAAGTATAATCATTGGAGATGAGTACATATCCTATCCTACTTTTTATTTTATTATTATTTTAAAAGTCAGTACATGCGAACCTTCATGGTTACAGAGGCTAGATAGTATCAGGATTTAAACATAAATCAATAGGTTATCCACCATATCTTCCACATGTCTTACCAAATCACCACAACCCAATGGTTTTATTAGTTATATATAATAATTGTGAATTTATATCAAATATTTCTTTTAAACTATTTCATAAATTTGTATAAAGTTGTAAAACGATTTCATTATTTTACGCATGTGTTCAAGGGCAAACCTAGAAAAAAATATTGCACGGTTGCACAATTTTTTTTCCACATAACAAATGGTATGTCCAGGATTTCAATATGTTGGGGGCATAAAGCTATCAAATAATATTTTTAGGTCAGGATTTTAAACAAAGTTTTTAAGATCGGGTTATTTTCTTTAATAAACACTACCTCACCTAAAACTCAAATATAGAAGCTAATCTTAATAAACACCACAACACCTAAGAACTCCAAAAATAAATGGCACCAAAAAACTACAACACCTAATTAAGAACTCCAAACCAAACTTTTGCAGCTGATGAATCATCTGACATTACAAAAAAATAACAAGTACGAATATGATTGTAAATGAATCAATCATTAATAATTTATATATGTTCACCATGTTAGAATGTTGTTATGTGAACTGAGCTTTAAAAGTAAGTGGTCTCCATGACACAATGTTTTAAAAAAAAGCAAGTAAACAAAAATAAATTAAATTAATAAAGCAAATACAAAGTGAGAACAAGAAATACAAAAGAAGATACAAAGGAGCTAACAAAAAAGACTAAGGATAAAAACGAAGCAACCAAATCTAAACAAAACAATGAAGAGGCACTCTAACAGAAGAGGAACACCACCATCAAGGGCAAAATCGACCACACCAACAAACGAGTAGACCAAATGTGAACAACACTAGGAACTGACAGGGGTAAAATTGTCCACTCCAAAATCCCAGTACCAGAAAATCTACACACCAGCAACCAACAAGAAGCAGGGGTAAAATCGTCCAAACCAAGCATATTACATATATATAAACAAAATTGTATCATGCCTTGTACAAGATATCCACATGTTCACTTTTGCTTGTGAATATTAATATTAACTAAACACCTACTTTTTAGGACCTCCAAATTATATGCTAATTATGAGTTGTTTTGTTACCTTCTAAAGTTCTAATCAATGTATCTAACCTATAATATATATATATATATATATATATATATATATATATATATATATATATATATATATATATATATATATATATATATATATATATATATATGTTCCAGTGTGGAGCATATACTTGCTAGGTATGAAGCAGAAAACAGAAGCACAAAAGGAGATAGCCAAGATTCAGTAAGCCTCCCTCATACATACAACTTCTTAATGAGCTTAATTCATTGTTTTCACAATAGTTGCTATAAATATGAGTTAGTGACTTAATGAGATGTGCATTACATACAGGAACTTCCATTGAAGTGCAAAAAGTTCAGAACATGTAAACAGCTTCTACAAATGGTGGACAGGTACAACACACACACACACACAATGGTAAGTTAGAAGATAATGATTTTAATGATACCCAACTCTTTGAACAGGCTTGTTGAAGAGAATAATAATGATGATAATCACAAGGAGCTCTCTGTGGTTGAGATGACAAATTTAGAAGAAGAACTTAATGCTGCTCTTATGCAAACAAGATCAAGAAAGGTGATTCCTTTCATTTGCAGCTACTTGTTCAATTTACATGTTTTGCATTTAGTCACTGATTAGTAGTATCTTATTATGATATTGATATAATATATTGACAGTGATTATGGTTGATGATTGATGCAGACACAGTTGATGATGGAGCACGTATCAACCCTCCAACAACAGGTATATAAAGATGCAACAATTTGAACTACATATCTAAAAGACATCAATTTTATTTTCTGCTGATTGAAAATTGAAGTACCTTAAGACAACCTTATTGCACCTTGATGCCACATTCCTTTGGTTGCTTGCTGCATATGACCAAATAGATAAAGAAAACAATCATGCATCCTTTTATAGAGGCACTTACTCATATAATACCACTTGATTGTCCCAATCGTGAAAGTTTTATTCAGTGGATTGGTAGTGAAGTCCAACCAGAGTCTTTATTGTTTGTATATATGTAGAGGCTAATTCATCTGGTTAAATGCAAGGTCGTTAAGATCATACACATACATGATACACCCTTTCCCCTTCTTCTTCTGTTTGTGTATATTTAATATCAATCATACCAAGTAGGAACCTGCATAAACACAACATCAGTCTAACAATCTACATTTATCATTGTGATTGTGAGCAGGAGAAGGATTTAATCAACGAAAAGGAAGAAATCGTACAACAGGTAAACCTTATTGAAACAAGTTTCATTTGTTTAAAATTTTGAAATACCCTTTTTTTTTTACCATTGAAAGGGAGAAATTAGTCAATTATTTGGTTCCCATGATGCCCAAAAAGTGTATGATCATTTAGATTCTTTTAACAAAAGAAAAACGAGCATAACTTATCAGATCTTCCTTACCTTTATAATCAAATAATTTCCAAGCTTCTTTTTCAAGTATTCTATTTAAAGTTGATGTCTTCTTGCTTTTTGTGTTGCGATTTGTATTGTTGTAAATATGGTTATATGAATTAAATTGAAAGTTAAAGTATAATGAAATTGCAAAAATTAAAGTGGATCTTTGGCTTACAGAATGCATCAGCGGAGAATGTGTTTGGGACTGGGGGTGGAGGTCTGAACAACGACCTTTCAGTTAACCAGATGGATTCTCCGCAACATCTGACTCTCCCTCTTTTTATTACGTAATCACTGGCCTCATCAATTTCAGTTTCAATTTCATCCCTGCAATTGCAAATCAGATTCAGATGTTTATAATGGGCAATAATAATCCGATGAAATATGTTGGATTGTGTTTGAGTGTGACTACTATTGAGTGTGACTAATAGATACGTACGTATCTCTGTAAACCGTAATCGAGTGCAGTAGTAGGTTTTTTTTAGGTTATACAGTTTGGGTTTTAAAGATTTTTCTGTGATTTAATAGTTATATAGTATAATATATTTAATTACCAAATCATAACATGGGTCAATAGCGTTTTGAATATGTTGATTATTTTGATATAATACATAATAAATTTAAATTAAATTAGTTATAATAGCTAGTAGGTTTTTTAATTACCAAATCATAACATGGGTCGAAAGCGTCTTGAATTTGATTATTTTGATTTAATTTTAACATACATAATAAATTGAAATTAAAATAATTATAATAGCTAGTATTTAAAAAAATCCCAATAAATATTCATAAAAATGAAAAATGACCTAAATAGCCATAATTTTCCTAGATAATCATCTGCGAATTTTTGTGAGCTAAATTTTTTTTGTAGATCTTTGCAAAGAAAAAAGTGCAAGAATGATCCCTGTGGTTATATCGAAATTGCTACTTTGGATCAAACAGGTTTCGACTAGCACTTATGGTTCAAATATTATCATTTTCTTACCACTTTGGTCCAATTTACTTTAAACTTTTTAATAATGACCATTTCGCCCTTTGTTTTTACTTTTTCAGTTTTTTATTTATTCAAATATTTTTATAATTAAAAGATAAATAAAAAATATATATATCTCTCTCACTCACTCTCTCTCTCTCTCTCTCTCTCTCTCTCTCTCTCTCTCTCTCTCTCCATTAGAACCTGAAGCTCTCTACATCTACTTCGAGCATCTAAATCACCACCCACCATGAACATTCACAAATCAGTTTTCAAAACTAGATGCAAAAATCAGATGTTAAAGCAAGCCCTAGCGGACACGATGCATCACCACCAAGAAACCCTAACCACCATGAACATCTCATGTCTGTTAAAAAATCATATTTTCCATCCTCTATTTCGTTAAACCAATAAATCCAGTTTCAATGCTCATTTACAATCCTTGACCAAGTCTACACAAACACAGTTAATTAAACCAAGAATCATATATATATATATATATATATATATATATATATATATATATATATATATATATATATATATATATATATATATGATTTAAATCTTTTTATGCTTTAATTTTTTTCCTGCAACAGATCTGAAAATTCCAATTGCGGTCAAACACCACACGTTGGTTTCTTCGTTTTGTTAGCATCACAATTTCTAGATCTCTGATTTTTTTTTTTTCCAAAATCAAAATGTTCTCATCTTCTTCTCTTTTTCTGTTTAATGGAATCTCGATCGACATCAAAAATATTTTGCAAACCAAAAATTTTCTATTGTTGTGATCTGAGTTTGAACATTCGTGAGACTTATATGATCAATGTTCAATGCAAAAAAAACATGCAATAGAAAATCGAAATTGATACATTACAATCGAAATTCCATGAACAGAATAAAGAGAATCGATTGAAGATTTAAAGAGTTGAACATCCGTGACACTTGACGTCAGCTTGAACACACATATCACTTTCTAAAAACAAAAACCACACACACATACAAATCAATTTCATATTCTTATTTTGGGGGGTTTTTTTTGGTTCAAAAAACAAAATTCGAAAACAAAACTAAAAACTCTGTTGATCAAACTCTATAAAAAACGAAATCAGAACCAAAACCCAAATACATTCAGAAATTGAGACCTAAGTTTATCTTCTTAAACTAACCAGGATGCATTGGTGAAATCAAAACCCAAATACAATGGTCATTGTCATGATTATTCCAATCGACGTCATCCCCTGCTTACTCCTTCCTCCTGCCACTGTAAACCACCCCAAATAAGGAAGTTTTAAAGATCGAGTGGTAGAGGCTAAAAAAGGGAAGGAATAAGTAGACTAAAGATTAGGATGAGGAAAGGGATGAGCAGGAAATGGAAAAAATTGACGGTGGCACCTCCTGGATTTTTTTGGGGGAAGAAAAAGATGAGGATGAGTTTCTTTAGAGAGAGAGAGAGAGAGAGAGAGAGAGAGAGAGAGAGAGAGAGATTTTCTTTTAATTATAAAAGTATTTGAATAAATAAAAAAAAAACTGAAAAAGTAAAAACAAAGGGCAAAATGGTCATTATTAAAATATTTAAAGTAAATTGGACTAAAGTGGCAAAAAAATGAAAACCTTTGGACCATAAGTACTACTTCAAACCTGTTTGGCCCAAAGTGACAATTTCGATATAACTACATGGACCATTCTTGCAATTTTATCTTTTGCAAATTACACTTACAAAAATCTAAATGATATTTGGTTTGCATAATGTTTTTTTATCGAGTTGAAATTGAAATTGAAGAAAAAAATCTATAATGAATTTGAATCTAATTATATATATCATGTTTGGTTGACATGAAATATAATTAGAATTTCAAGATTATGTTTGATTTGTAACATATGAAATTAGAACTCATGTAAAGTGACAATATTACTTTTTATTTTTGTAATTTTATTTTGTTTTCTAACTTATATGTGTTGGAAAATAACTCGTTAATAATCTCATCGGATTATTTTATAATGTTTTATGTGTTAGGTACATTTATATTGTGTACCATAATATCTTACATATTTATTATATGTAGTATGATGGATATGACATTTTTCTATCAGTTGACGGACCAAATCTATGTGGTTCTAAACTTTTTCTATGTTATAACTCATAGATTAAACAAATGTGTATATATATATATATATATATATATATATATATATATATATATATATATATATATATATATATATATATATAAAGGGTCGTTCCATTGTATTTTTATGCTCATGGCAAGGTAATAAAATAATGTCCTTATATATATATATATATATATATATATATATATATATATATATATATATATAAAACTCATCTCTACAAATCTTATAATCAAATAGAACTCATATAACTACAAACAAAAACATATGTAAATCACAAAACATATAACTACACACAAAAACATATGTAAATCACAAAACAACATGTTCAACAACATATAAATTGATTTTCAAACAAAATTTTCTTCTTCAAGGGTGTTAACAATGTCTTTTGTTACAACAATATGAGTTTTTTTAGTATGAGGAAAAATAAGATACATACTACTACAAATATTGAAGTAGAAAAGTGCAATAAGAATTTTTCTAATCTGCCCTTGCTATTTTAAAACCAAAAAAAGACCAAATATTATGTTTTTTCCACTTTCACTATGAAAAATGATCTGGAAAATAAATCAAGGAATCATAAATAGATATTCATTTAAAAAAAAAAATTGTCTTGTAGCAACAAATAACAATGGAAAAATTACATACCTGCCCCTAGCTGCTTCCTTGAGGTATTCAAAATAATCAAAAGCTCGGAACTCAACAATAAAATATACATCCTGAATCACATAAACAGACCATCAAAATCCAGAAAAGAACTCTAGAAATTCATACATAAAACCACAAAAATTATACCAAAGCAAACCAGAAAAATCATACCTAAAGCAACTCCTGATTTCAAACTTAAATGAGAGAAATAGGAACTGTGAACTCCTTATTTTGAACTAAAAAATGGAGCACTGAACTCTTATACACCTAATCTGGAAGCAAACCACAAGAAATCAAAAATTGGACTTCTTGAAGCAAACTACTATAATCAAACAGGTAAATATGAAATCAAAGATGCACATTTCGAAAACTAACTGATACATTTAGAATAGATTGGGAATCATAAATAGAAAAATAGAACAAATAATTACATTTTTAACTGATAGCTTTGAACCGACGAACTCCATGTCTCCAACTTGAACAATTAAGCTCCATTCAAATCAAAATAGTGATAAAAAGAATAGGAGAATTATAAGTCGGAATCAGAAATACAATAATGACAATCTTAGTTTGGACCGGGAACCCCAACTCATACAAATACGAAAATTGTGAATAAGAATTTGGAGAAAAATAAATAAAAAAGTAGAAATTAGAACCAATCGACTTAGAGATGCATTCGACTCCTCGATCTTCTACAAACTTCAATTTTCTAGGCATTGTCGATTACATCTCCAATGTCGCTTCAAGCGCAAGCGCCTTGCCTCTATAGGCTTGTATCGTCTCGTCTATGGTTAGAGAACAAAAATCATGAGCTTAATCTTTTGGGTCAAACTAATATATACACAATTACTTACGGACTAATGATTCCCCTTAAAAAATGATGTCGTGGGCCACAGCCCATCTCGCCTAGGGCCGGGCATATATATATATATATATATATATATATATATATATATATATATATATATATATATATATATATATATATATATATATATATATATATAGCTGCAGGTTCATTTGAGACCATTCTAATTTTGTGAGACCGTGAGACAATCTAAAAATAATTTTAAAATGCAAAATAAGTGGAAAAATCCAAAAATTCATTTTTTAATTATTATTTTCGGAACTTGAATTAACTAAAAATAAATAAATAAAAATAAATAAATCCCGTTTTTTTTTTTGAAAAATACGTGAAATATTCTAATAGAATATTACATTGTACATATTCTAAAAAATAATTTTAAAATGCAAAATAAATGGAAAAATCCAAAACAAAAATTTTAAATATTATTTTCGGAACTTGAATTAATTAAAAAAATAAAAAAAAATAAAAAAAATGTATCTCACGGTCTCACAAAATTAGGCAGTCTCACATGAACCCCTCCTTATATATATATATATATATATATATATATATATATATATATATATATATATATATATATATATATATTATATATATATATATATATATATATCAAAGGAGGGGCGTATGTTTTGAGACTTCATTGGGTTCTTTCTTTCACATTCCAAAATTCCAATCTAAAACCATTAGCAGGTGTGTGTAATTTTCAAGGTTCTAAATAACGTAAGGCGTGATTTAGCGGCAATATCAAGCCTCAAGTTTTTCCAAACCTTGGCGAGTCATGACGTTTGTAAAGCGTGACTTAAGGCGGCATTTTTTTTATATAATTAATATTTTTATATGTATTTTCAACTATTATTCATTTTTATACACATATATGAGTTAAGGCGGCGTTTTGGCAAAACTTGGCGGCAAGTGCAAGCCTTAGAGTCGTGGCGCGCCATTGCGAGCTTTTTAGAACCT